GATTAGTCATTAAATTTTTTTAATATTGAAAAAATAAAACAAACATGCCAAAATCTGTCATTCACTGTTTTGACATTTTTACCTGACATGTTCTCGTTGCCAGCAAAGGTAAATAAATTAGAGTGAGGGAAATCGGCGAGGGAAGTCGAATAGGGAAATCGGTGAGGGAAATCGAAGAGGGAAGTGACACAGGTGAAGTGACACTTCCAAATTTTTAAAAAGTCAGTAATGTCAAGATTACATATATGGTTGCAAATAATAGTTATTTATGTATCAAGGGTACTAAGTAGATGATTATGCCCTGAGGGCGACAGTCTTACAAAGCCGAGGGCATCTGGCCCGAGGGTTCGTAAGTCGCCCGAGGGTATATATATCTATTAGTACCCGTGGTGCATACAAACGTTTATGTCATACCAGTTGGTTGTGAATAATAAATAGGTATCTGGGAAAAAAGTATCACTTCGCAAATTGTCATCAGTGTGCAAACATCATCATTTTTTGACAAAAATAATATGTTTATAAGCGTAAATTTATATTTTGTTAATAAAGAATAAGTTAATTGAAAACTGTTTTTTGCGTCTTTATGCCCGCGCGGGCCATAATGTGTACTTTATGCCCGCACGGGCATAAAGTAATGAATTATGTGATGGTATCTAAGGTATAAAAACACAATAATGTATTGGTATGACATAAAATATATTTCACCCTTAAAAATTTCAAAGACCGTAGGGGCACAGGGCACAGGGGTGTGGTATAATATTTTAAATGTTCTCTCAAAAACTGTCAGTACGGACAGTTTTTGAGAAATGCTAAGAAACAGTTTCACCCTCAAAAATTTCAATGACCGTAGATATGTAACTACTAATAATAAGAAAAATTGAGAATTTTCATGTGATATCCTTAGGGAACACCTAATAAGTCGATGTTACAAGAAACAAAGGCAAAACATAAATTTCAAAAAAAAACCGACGTCACTGAACCTTCAGCTGTTTCCGGAAAATTGTCTGATAACTTTTGTCTGATAACTTCACATCAGTTTAAATTCGTTCGCCAACAACTAAAGTCTGTTTTTTTTTTTAAAGATAAAAGTCAAAATGACATTATGTTGGCAATACAATGTAAAATTGTTAATGCTTTCAAATTTTTTATGTAGAAAAGGCTTGTGTTGCCAACATAGTTACCAAATTTTTGACTTGGGGAATTATCTTTAACAAAAAAAAACAGATTTTATAGTATTTTTAATACCTATTTAGAAGTACCAGTCGTTCTAGTGACTAAACGTATGTTGCTTCTTGAACACACAAATAAAATTAGGTTAGGAATTTCTTTGTTGGTAATTTTTTGTCTCATCCGATTCGTTATTGATAAATAAGGATAGAATTATTCTAAATGGGTATTAAAAATACTATACCATTAGCTGCTTTCGGAAATGTAAATCCTGGATCGAGTAGGTTAATATCAGCTGATCGCGGTTTAGCTCGTTTTCAGAGTAGATTATTCAAAATTTCCGAACGATTGGGATTGATTATCGCCGGCACCCGCGTTTATTTTTCATAAGGAACTGTTTTTCTTCAACGATTTGAGGTTAGGTCTTTGGTCTTTACCTCTGACTTTTCAAAGACACTGCAACCCAAGGATACTGCAAACCACCCCAAACACAACACAACAAACCACAAAAATTAAAACAAAAATCTTGACAAAGCGGAAATTAAAACATTATAAAATGAACATAACACATAACCAAAAAAATCAAACAGCTGATAGAATAATTTTCTATCCACGTCAAGAGCAGGGTTAACGAGATTACTAACATATGAAAAAACCGAGTCAACAAGATCACTTACCGAACGCGAGTACTCAACTTTGGATCATTTTACGAACGATGAGATTGCTAATCCGATCGAACCGATTAGCACTAGAAATCAGGCCGGGCGATGATGAGACTTGCCAGGCCACCTACTTTTGCTTGCCTGATATATTCATATTCCTTATAATTTTTTCTCGATTTTGTATCACTTTCCACTATTTGCTATAGGTATAAACGAGTTAAGAATTGAAAGATGAATTGAAGTGCTTCAAAACTTTATTATTTATAAAAAATAAATTACAGTTACTGAGTTGTAATAGTTATTTTTCGTACAAGACGCGTTTTATCGTCTATTTTATCGTCGACCGGAAAAGTTAATTAATCCACGAGCGATGAAGTCGCGGGTGAATTATGAAAAAAGTTCTCTGAGTGACTTACAATTTTCAATCAAATGCTTAATTATATCATTATTATCTAATGATTGCAGAACATCTTTTTCAATTGCCATGAGCCTAAATGTTTCCAGATAATCTTGTCCGAAACTATTTCGTATCCTGTTCAAAATATATTCCAGCTTTGAAAATGACCCCTCACAACTAATCTGTGCTGTGATATGGATAAAGTTAGTATATATTGGTAAGCTCTTTGGAGATCGGGATAGGCCTCGGCATACATATTATATTTTAAAAGCAAAGTGTAACAGCTAAAGAAGCATTTTTGCAGGTTTTGTGCTTATTTAACAACTGAATATTCATCGGGAAGTGTTTGGGACAGCCTAGACCATTTAGTGGCAAAATCCAATAATCGCTGCTTCAAACTATTTTTTGGAATTTCAGGAATTTTTTTTTCAAGTTTCTCAGTAACTTTTTTAGGAAATCTTCTGGTAGTTCCTTTAACGAATCAAAACTGCTTGGATGGAAACATTCGAAATCTTTGAATAGCTTTTGATGTTTCGTAAATCTACTCTCCAAAGAGTTAACAATTCTGTCCATCATTATGTAAAAAACTGCCAACTGCTCACTACTCGGTTTCAACTCAGATTTCAATTCAACTCCGTTTTTTCTCTGCCTCCAAAAAATTTATCTCTTCTGACAGTTCGCAAACTGTCGGGGACTTCCGTGAGAACAGACCTGGAGTGCGTTCGAAATCACCCTGGGCGTCACACCGAGTGCACACCAGCCATAAATAATTCATAGCTGGTGTGCACTCGGTGTGACGCCCAGGGTGATTTCGAACGCACCCCTATAGTTACGCGGTTTTTGTCAGAAGAGCGCGACTATTATAGGATCATAGGATTACGTAAAAAACGATGTCTGCTGTTTCATTATTTCTTTTATATGGTATTTATGATTCGATTAACTAATAGTCGCATGACGGAGACCGCGTAGCGACCAGGCCATTTTGCTAGGCCAGGCCATCGGGCGATGCCCGATCGCCCGATAGGCCAGTCCGCCCCTGTCTATTGTTACCAGTGATACTAGGGTCGGACGCTACAGTATGTACCTAAAGTTTGTTTCACCAGGGTTTGTACTTCCCACCAGCATTTGCCTTCCTTGTTTAACAAATAAAAATTGACTGAAACAAATCAATGACGTCAAAAACGGCATCGGTTCCTAAACCAGAAGTCATTCATTTTAATTTGTCAAAAAAATGGCATGTAATATTGACAATTGAGTTGAAGAGGGCGCTTCTGTACTTGGATCTTTTTAAATTTTGGCGCGTAAAAAATCGATTGAAATTTTAACCTCAAAACTTAATAGCGGTTTCCATTTGTTGAACCAGTGGAAAAATAATGTATTCTTATCCTTACATGTTACATGCTGTTAGAAAAAGATGCAGATACACTCAGCGCGCACTGATTGACAAATGGAAATCGCCATAAGTTTTATGTGTGGTTTCAAGACAAAACTGACGCTGACACTTTTAAAAATATTCTCTAAAGGGGCACTGAACGCTTTAGAAGATATTTTAACTTATCCATTGTCCATTGTTCATATGTAGTCATCTATTCCTTCTACTCAATTTAATCGGTTTAAAACTATTGACATTTACCACCAAAATTTAAAGCACTCCAAGTTCACTCGCGCCCTCTACAAAATTTTGAGAAATTTAACTGGATATTTGCTGCCATTGAATGTGTCATATGAATTAATCTACCACAACCCTTTTTTTTTCAAGTTTCAAGGTCAAGTATGAACCCTGGTGAAACGAACTTTATATAAAAATGAAATGAAACAATTCAATTTGAGTGACACTTCATTAGTTTATTATAATAATATAAAAACAAACAATAAAAATAAAATCCACAAATATCACATATTTTTAAAATACACTACAAATTCTTATGTATATTTTATAATAATGCTGATATAATATAGAAAAATAATGAAACAAATAATAAATAAGTTAATAAATAGCACGATAAAAATAAACATAATAATGGAAAGTGAAACATATAACTTAAGTAGACTTTTTTGTCTAATTCACAAGTACTTATTTTTCGAGATAAGTGGTGCTTCATAAGACTAAACAGCGTATTATGCAAAAACGTTGAAAATATTTCCAAAGTTTATTTGAAATTTAAAATTCGACGCTGTCTCTTTGAAACATCATCATCAGATGCGACCCTTATGGATTTGAATTATGTTGTTTTTTGTTTATTTTGAGAGCACAGGAGTAAAATGGCAAGAACAAAATAATAATGGTTTTACAAAATCTAAGCTCGAAAAAAGAGTTAAGAAAAAGTTGATGGTAGCGAAAAGGTCAAGCATTAAATTGTATAAGGCGGCCTCGTAGAAGAAAAAAGCAGCAACAATAAATTTTCAAATATCTCTCCAAATAAACTTAGGAAAAAATAAAAACTAATATCCTCGAAGGAAGTTGAAATTTCGTAGATTTTCGAGGGGCATTTTACAGATTATTGAAATTTGTCCAATTCCTACTGTTTCCAATATCCCTAATGCTGTTAATTCCTTTATGGAGCACCCTATAGATAGGTTTACATAGATATAAATTTGACCCAAATGGTTGATTTTACAAGCTTTCACTTATTTTACAACATTGGTCTTTTTCTTTTAAAAAAGTAATTCTTGAGGTAATCAAGACTAGAAAATGTGAGGCAGTGTACAAATAGCGCCATTTTTACACACATACTCAAAAAGAAGCCAACAAAATTTGAACTCTATTTCAGTTGCTAAATTTTCACACTGTCAACATGAACGCTCGCATCAATATCGCTAATACTCTTAACTCTTCTATGTTGCTTCTTGTTTCGGTGCAAGCTACCTCCCACAAAACTTTTAGCTTCTTTGGAAACGTTATCAATTTCTGACCGAATACTCTGGATACTTCTATTTATATCATATTCGTCTATGGAGCTAGTGAAAACAATTATGTAAATTCCGAAACTGAACTATAATTCCTTACCTGCAAATATACATATCATAATCTTCAGATCGTCTCTGGAAAATATTTTTTGGTTGAGCATGGGCAAAGGGTTGAGCATAAATGGGAGATTCTCCGCCAGATTTTGAAGATCTTTGAGTGTATTGTAAAGGCGGACTGATTCTGCTGACAACTGAAGAGCTTTCCGAACTAGACGTTGGTGATATTTTTTCTTTATCTCCGGGATTTTTAGGTTTGGTGAGACCTAGTGCGCGACTTAAAGAACCCTAGAAATATAGGTTTTATTTAAACAATTACACATATTTATACAAACAACCCTCACCCTGAGGCTTGTCCTTTTAGAACTATTATCGACCATCATCATCCCGCTTGCCAAAAACTCTCCTCCTCTACCCAATGAAGGTGACGGTGCGGTAAGGCCTCCGCACGATTTGGAAAACGATCGTCCCAAAGAACCACTACTACTGGCACCTGGTACCCTGCTTTGTTTTGTCCTTACTCTGACATAGTGCACTAGTGTGGATCTAGCGGTATATAACAGTGCAAAATCAAAAGAACATCGAAAGAAGCAGTGCGGGCGGGACACATTTAAGAACAAGCATTCTATGTAAGATTTTTTTTTTTGCTTTTTTTTTTGGAGAGAGTAGAAAGTAAGAAAGCGGCTATTATTGGTTCAATTTTACTTTTACCATATTATTTTAAGCTTGACCATCCCTACTAACAAAGTTGAAAGATCGGAGAACAGCGACATCAGCGACACGAGGTGTCCTCATCTATCCACCCACAGTAAAGTGATATTATGTGATGATACATATTATAAGTTTAAATATCTTGATAATTCATAGCAAATCCTGATGAAAAGGGTAAAAAGACCGATGTATAAGTTTGCAAAGAGAAATACTAATTATATTAACTATGAAGAAGAGCCATGAAAGGAGTATATCTATTTTGTGCTTCTTTGAGAGAGCTGCGGAGAGTTGGTGAGAAAAAGTCCATCAGAAGACGAAAACTATGTCCTGATGATGTCCTGTCCAGAGTTTGCTTGAAGCCGATTTCTTCACATTTCCTATTAATCAACAGCTTCTTTGTTCAGGAAATTACCGGCACACGAACTACTCCGGGACTCCACCAACAAATGGATAATCATCAAGAAATTAATTTCAAGAATTTCTGGCTTATGTTGTTATTACTTCTTTCATTTTGGTGTGGGTTATTTTTTTCTTAATTCAATATCCTATAATTGTTGTGAAACAATTTTTAATCTAAACGGTATGCTTTCTTGTCATTGTCAACTAATTTAGAGAAATTGAAACTCATGGTATTGTACTTACCTGAAATACAGTTAAAAGAAAAATTAAATCGCTACTCTAACATCAAAGTTCATGCAAAATATTGTAGTCCAATGAATAATAAACTCCTGAATAATTTGAAAACCACTGTTACATCAAAATATATAGACATTCTAACACCGACAAGCATAAAAATTGGGTGGAATCTTAGATCCAAAATATGTCTAAAAAGTGCTCTAACATCAATATCAAGAGGGAGGAATGCGGTGCGAAGCAAAAAGCAAAAAAAATAACATAGAATGTTTGTGTCATGTGTTCCCGGACCGAAATATTGTATGTAAAACATGGAAATACATCAAAAGCATTGTTAATTAACTTTTTTTTTTGAATTATAATTCAAATTAAATTATTCAATGCTTTTGAAGCTTTTTTTTTGAAACTCGCTTCAAATAAGCAGAGAGGGCGAGCGTTAAAAAAATTTCATTCAGCATTCAGGGTGATTTAAATTTTGAAATGAAATCTCATTCCATTTCACAACCTTTTTATTTTTATTTTTTTTTTAACTATAATCATATTATTGGGAGTAAAAGTTAAGAATATTTTTGATTTTTTAGTTCAACTTAAAAATATAGATTATTAAACGTAAATAATATATACTTACATATTTGCACATTTATAATTTCTACATTAGGAACGTTTTCAACATTTATTAAAATCTGATTTTTGGTCTAGCCTAATATTGAGCGGATGATTATTCGTTGTATGGGAATTTTTTATGAAATGAAAGGGTAAATCTTGTGTGTGGTTCAGTTATTATTAATAAGAATTGATATATTTAGAGTTATTGGACATGCTGATATAATGAGGAGTGGTTTTATCGCCACTCAAAAAATATGATCAATAAATGTTGAAAACTGTCATAAAATATCAGGCAAAATTCTAGTATAGACTGAAAAAAATTGGTCTTGGTTGGAGTTGAAACCAATAGCATTTTACTGTACAGTTTGCAAATTCGAATGCTTATTCGATTAATGAGTATCGTTAAGGAAGTAATCGATATGAAACAAGAGCTTGAGACGTGACTGATGAAATAGGTATTGAGTATGACGAGTATGTATCTGAAGAATTGATGAACAAGAGAATAAAAGTAACGAAAACTGAATTGGCGAAAGATGTGGAAAGTCCTGGAGCAAAATCATGACCTTGCCACAATGCGCAACCCCAGGAGAAACCTACAAAAACACAAAGTGAAAAGACTTTTTGATAGAAACGAAACAACAATACTATTATAGAAAAGCACCAAAAATATGAAGATTTTAATGGAGGGGGCTATTCTTGGGATAATTTTATTCTTAGGTGTGTTTGTCCGCACACTGAATTTTCTTTTCTATCTCCTCTTGATTGGGTCTTTTTTGGGATAACTAGGAGATAGAGGCCGAAAGCTAATATGGAATCATTAGCTGTATTCCTTTCAAGAGTTTAAAACACTAGAGCTAGCTATCTGATGGTCATCAGCTGAGTCAGCAGCATCGAATGTCAAGCCGAGACCTAATATAAATATAGTAACAACCATTACTTAGTTAGTCAGTAGTTGAATTTTAATCGCTAATTATTGTTCTCATTTAAATTTTTGTGAAATAATTTTTTGAAAAACAACTTTTGTTGTTCGTATAAGTTATTTGCGCAGTTGGTAGGATTTCCGGGAATTGATATACAAATCGATTGATCCATTTTTCGTCGCAGCGATTTTCCGGAAAAAACAACTTTCAATTGTTGAGACGTTGGTGGACGGTTTCGAAGCAGAGTGGATTTTTCCGAACATTGAAAAATTCCCAATCTATCGAAGAGCTGTGGAAAACACTTCGCCTGTCTTCGCAAGGACTTAGATTTTGAGAAGGACCACATCGCCCAATCAAAACTAAGTGTCTTATAGAGGAATGATGAGAGCCGTGTTTTTGCTTATGGTAAGTAGTGTAATTTATTAAAATTTTATATCGATTGAAAATCTTTTAACAAATTTTAAAAACTTAAAAATACCGTCTCCAGCCGACACTGACTCTGATTGTGATACAGATTCATTGAATAATACTTTTATTTTAAATAGGTACCTACTCCTTCAACTAATATTAATTCTAACATGTCACAATTTAAGCCAGCGTATTTAAACTGTGTCCCGACTTTTGACGGGAGCCCAAAACGATTTGAATCGATATATTTCTACTTGTCAGACATTAATAGATAGCTTCTATAAAGCTGAAAATCCTAACGATTTTCAAAATATCTACTTGTTGAATTCACTGTTCGGTAAACTTTCAGGCCAAGCAAAACTTATCATTAACATTCAAAATGTCACCACTTGGGATGATCTCAAAGACACCCTTCGTCGACAGTTTGCTGATCAGAAAAATAAGGCTTGCTTGAATAGGGATTTGGTTATGATGAAACAATTACCAATTGAAAAACCAAGCCAATTTTATGACAATGTTCTACTAATTTTAAATTTATTATGTTCATTTATTGATTCTCATGAAACCACCGATTGTAAAGAAAAACCTGGCCCTAAAATCCTTTTTGTCAAGCTTGAGCCTCTTGGTACTACAATCAGATGTATGCGACCTCAAAGTTTGATGCAAGATTTTCAATTTGTCAGCGAGGAGCATAATGTAAATTATTTCCAGAATCAGACTAAATCCGGTCCTAAAACTAACAATCAAACTAATAATTCTCAATCCAGTTTCACTAAGAGGCCGTCTTTCAATCAACAAACTTCTCAATATGATTTTGGGCCTAGTTTTCCATCACCACAGCTTGTGCACGTCAGACCCAATTTTAATAGACCACCACAAAAATATTTCACTAATTCTCAAGTTTTTGGAAAATCTGGCTCAAAACCAAATTATATTGCTTTCAGGCCAACAAATCAGCAGAAACAATTCCGAACACCTACACCTATGTCTGGTGTAGAAACATCAAAATTCAAACCATTTACAGCCGTAAATGCTAATAATAGCAACTCAAATAATTATGATCCACCTAAATTTGTTTTTGAAGAACTTTAAAATGTTGAATCCCAAAACCAACCCCAAAATGAACAATATGAACAAGCTTATTACCAAGATCAAGCATACGAGTATCTCCCAAATACAAGTACCCAATATTTTGGATCAAACTTCGACCAGAACGTCCTCGAGAACGTCGCATCCGGATCAGCATCTGAACATGAATTTACTCAACAATACAATTATTATGAAGAACCCGATAATAACGAAAATTTTCAAGAAACCCTGTCTCATACAGACAAAATCTAACACCATCAACTATTCTCCCTTTATTATGTCAAGTTCCTGCGAACTTGCATATATAGTTTTTTTTTCCAGGAAATAATTAAAAATTTTTGATAGATTCCGGCTCAACCAAATCATTTTTTGACCCAAATATTGCCAAACAATTATATCTAAATCAAATAATAATTGACCCATTTATAGTCGGGAATCAGCACACCGAAATTCGATCACGTACTGTGCACTCGAGGATATACGTTTTAAAAAATATGTACAATATGGAGAATGACCTTGCGGATGCAAATCCGGAGGGCTCCATTTAATTCGTAATTGCAATTAAGAATAAAAAAATATTTTCCGACTTTTTTGAATTATCCGAAAAATACTATTTTTTGTGTTTAACTCACGATTGTGACGCTATTGTTCAATATTTTTCCAAAATTCTTGCACCAAATGAAAGCCTAGTCATTGTAGAGTTCAACTGTATATGCAAAAAACTATTTTTTTTTATACTGAATTTGTCAGATTACTTAAAAGCAGGTGCGGTACCAAAACTGAAGTGAAAATTTCAGCATCGAGAAAATTTTTGAACGGTTGAAGATAGATATATGATCAATCGACGAAAAATGTGCCTTAATGAGTGAGGAAGTTTTTGGTGAAAAGAGATTTTGACTAGTGATAACGGTTTCCGAGATATGATTTTTTTTTCAAACGACGATACGCGCCGGCCGCTGCCGCATTGATCTCAATGAACGCGTTGCCCGTACCCTGGCCCCAGCGTGGCCCAACTTCGACAGTACTTGTTTATTCTATAGGGACAGACATTTCTATAAAACCTAATTAGGTAACTAAAACTTAATTTTAATTTAAATAAAACCCGCCTCCAGAATAGCAACCTCTTATACCATCCAGCCCTGCTTTTAAACAACTACAGTTTAGTTTCTAGTGCATATC